TTAAATAGAATTTAGTTTGTATTTAGTTAGAACATAGTTTGGATTTAATTTGGATTTAGTTATAATTGACTTGGATTTGGTTAGGATTCAATTTGGATTTAAAGCGAATTTTATTAGGATAAGATTAAGATTTAATTGGGATTCAATTCGAATTTAGTTTGGATTTAGTACAAGTTTGATTTCAATTACGATATGATTTAAATAGAATTTAGTTTGTATTTAGTTAGAACATAGTTAGGATTCAATTTGGATTTAGTTTATAATTGACTTGGATTTGGTTAGGATTTAATTTGGATTTAGAGCAAATTTTATTAGGATATGATTAAGGATTTAATTGGGATTCAATTAGAATTTAGTTTGGATTCGATTTGGATTAAGAAAGGATTTAAATAGAATTCAGTTTGTATTTACTTAGAATATAGTTTGAATTTAATTTGGATTTAGTTTATAATTGACTTGGATTTGGTTAGGATTTAATTTATATTGAGAAAGAGTTTTATTTATAAATTTATATATAATACAATTTAAATTTTAATTTAATATAAATTTCCAATCAGTTTTAATTAAATCTAGAATCTAGTCCAAATACCTAACTAAAACTAAACTAAAATCCAACTGAATCCCAATTCAATCTTAAAAGTATACTGATAAAATTCTAGCTAAATTCTAAACAAATCTAATACCAATTTTAATCATATCCTAATTAAATCCTAACTGAACCTAAATAAATTTTTCAGCAGTTTATAATTCAATTCTGAATAATCCAAGCTAAAAACTAATTATATCTTAGTTATGTATTAATTAAATACAAATTGACTTCAAAATGAATCCTGGTCAAAATACAGTTTGATTTCATATTAAGATCAACAGCAATTTTAGGTGAATCCTAACTGAATCCTAATAATGTGTAATTTATAATTTTATATAGTACATTTTAGATATAAGATAACAAATGTATTTTGAATAGTTAGATATTAATTCAGAAATATGAACAAACAACACTCTTTTTTGCACTATTTTATTAAATAATATTAATTTTACAAACGTTTCGAGACCAGGGTTTGCCTCATCATCAGTGAATTATAATTAAAAATCTAAAATATAAATGTTAACTGTTCCAATTTGTTTTTACTAATACACGCCAAACGAATTGTAGGCGACTGAAACAACTGTACAAGGTCAACTTGGGGACTCATGAATCAACAAATGCTAAGAAATATGCTAAAAGATTCATTCAACCCAATTTATTTTTCTGTTTTTCAGAAGAATAAGTGACAATATCAAAAACAAAATTCACTCTAGCAATCATCAACTTGGGCATAGTCATATTGGCGACAATTTTCCAAGTGCCTTCTGGCAGAAAAAACGCAGGCAAAAAATCATCATCGTGACGGTAATTCAGATGGTAATTATCCTAAAATAGACAAACAAAAAAAATTAGACATTCTTTGGATTTTTAGTCCTGGATTTCATTTTTCACCAACCGTTCGTATTGGACACCTTTCTGGAAACTTTTGGCCTTTTTCACGAAATTTGGCAACCAGTGGCAACATAAATTTGGACGCAATTTTGGCAACAAATGGGGAACTGTTGGTGATTTTTAAAGATCCAAGAATAGCACACAAATCCAATTTTATACGAGGAAATTGTTCTTTGTAACGATTGCTCACTAGTTGGTATAATTGCCCTTCGCCCTTAATAATAATAAAAAAACCTTTACTAATTATCAAATTTTTATTTTATATGAAATTACCATTAGGTTGTCCATAGTTTTCACGAACGTTCCATTCATAATCATACTTGAATGAGTCCTGTTTAATCTTTTAACTTTAAACTCATAAGGCATAATATATTCTCGATTACAATAATCCAAGTTCATATTACGAAAAATAACCCAATAGTTGTTCTAAAATCACAAAAAATCACTATAGTAACACATAATCATTATATAACAATTTCCAAATCTTACCCAACAGTTGGTGTTAATAATTATTGCAAAAATAATGCAAAACGTGAAAAAACTTTTCAAAAACATTTTTGTATAAATTGTGACTTTGGATTGAAAAATGATTGTGCGTATGTAATAAAAAAACACAATTAAAATTAGAGAAGATTTTAATTTTAGATTAAAATAAAATTGATTCCGGATATTTATACTCAAAGTGTTATTATTCAATTGCACATCCATTTACCCGTGTCGAAATATTTCACCATTTCAAATTCAATTCCAAGAAAATCCTAACTAAATTCTAATTTTCAAAATTTAGTGCAATGCTACCCAAACAAAACACAAACGAATAAATCCTAATTAAATTCTAAACTAATTATAATTTGAATTGTTTTTAAATCTTGATTATATGCAAATTGAATCCTAACCAAATCTAATTTAGATTCCATTCAAATCCAAATCAAATTCACGAAATTCCTAATTAAACTTTAGATTTTAATAAATCCTCATTATCATTCTCATAAGAACCAAAATTGAATACAAAAAAAAATATTAATACCTAACTAAATCCAAACTCAATATTATTTTAAACCTAACTGAATCCTAACTAAATTCTATTTAATTTTTAATTAAATCATAACTACATTCTAATTAAACACAAAAAGATTTTCAAATGAATCCTCATTTAATTCAAAGGTTAAATTCAAGTCAATTTCAAATTAAATCTTAACTATAATCTAACCAAATACAAACTAAATTTTATATAATCTTATCTTAACCCAAATCAAATTTGAAATAAATCGAAATTAAATTAGAACTGCTTCCCAAATAAACCCTAATCATGTCCTAATAAAATTCTTTTTAAATTCAAATTAAACTCTTACTAAATTCAAGTCAATTCTAAACTAAATCTAAATTAAATCCAAACTATATCCTAACTAAATACAAACTAAATTCTATTCAAATCCAATTTTAACCCAAATCAAATTTAAAATAAACGCCGAATTATATCATAATAAAGTTCTATTTGACTTTAAATTGAGTTCTAGCCAGATCTTAATTAAATCCTAATCAAATACAAACTAATTTCTATTCAAATTGTGCTAAAATTCTAACTTAATCATTTTTAAATCAAAATTAAATACTAATTAAATTTTGTATAAACACAAATTAAATTCAAATTAAGTCATGTTAATACTCATATAAAATACAATTTAAATTTTAATTTAATATAAACTTTCAATCAATTTTAATTAAATTTAGAATCTAGATTAAACACCTAATTAAAATCTAACTAAAATCCAAATGAATCCTAATTCAATCTTAAAAGTATCCCCATAAAATTCTATCTAAATTCTGATTAAATCCTAATTGATTCCAACTACATACTAATTAATTGCCAAATAAATCCAATCACAATCCTATTAAGTTGAATCTCAATAAAATCTAATTTAAATTTGATTCAAATCCAAATCAAATTCATGAAAACTCTAGTTAAATTTTAGATTTTGATAAATCCTCATAAAACCAAAATTAAATACAAAAAAAAACAAATTAAAATCTAACTAAATCCAAAGGCAATATTAGTTAATACCTAATTGAATCCTATCTAAATCCTGTCTAATTTTTAATTAAATCCAAACTAAATTCTAATTAAACGCGAAAAGATTTTCAAATGAATCCTCATTTAATCACAACTAAAAACAAATTGAACTCGGATTAAATCCAGATTAAATTCCACTTAAATACTAACTAAATCCTTAATAAATACTAATGCAACCAAATTAAAATGCAAATAAAAAAACAAATTGAAACCAAATAAAATACCTTACTCACATAAATATAAATTAAATCCTAACTAAATCCAAACGCAATATTAGTTAATACCTAATTGAATCCTATCTAAATCCTGTCTAATTTTTAATTAAATCCAAACTAAATTCTAATTAAACGCGAAAAGATTTTCAAATGAATCCTCATTTAATCACAACTAAAAACAAATTGAACTCGGATTAAATCCAGATTAAATTCCACTTAAATACTAACTAAATCCTTAATAAATACTAATGCAACCAAATTAAAATGCAAATAAAAAAACAAATTGAAACCAAATAAAATACCTTACTCACATAAATATAAATTAAATCCTAACTAAATCCAAACGCAATATTATTTAAAACCTAATTGAATCCTAACTATATCCTGTCTAATTTTTAATTAATTCCAAACTAAAGTTTAATTGAACGCAAAAAGGTTCTCAAATTAATCCTCGTTTAATCACAACTAAAAATAAATAAAACTCGAATTAAATCCAGATTAAATTCCACTTAAATACTAACTGAATCCTTAATAAATTCTATAATGAAACCAAATTAAAATGCAAATAAGAAACCAATTAAAACCAATTAAAATACCTTACTAACATAAATACAAATCAATTCCTAACTAAATCCAAACGCAATATTAGTTGAAACATAATTGAATCCTAACTAAATCCTGTCTAATTTTTAATTAAACTCAAACTAAATTCAAATTAAACACAAAAAGATTCTCAAATAAATCCTCATTTAATGACAACTAAAAACAAATAAAACTCGGATTGAATCCAGATTAAATTCCACGTAAATACTAAATAAATCTAAATTTTCTCTTAATAAATTCTTATAGAAACAAATTAAAAGGCAGATGAAAAACAAATTGAAACCAAATAAAATACCTTACTAACATAAATACAAATTAAATCCTAACTAAATCCAAACGCAATATTAGTTAAAACCGTTAAAAGTTTAATTAAATCCAAACTAAATTTTAATTCGAACTCAACATTAGTTATAATCAAATTGAATCCTATTTAAATCCAAACTAAACATGATATAATTAACTTCCCGTAGGGTAAGTTAATATAATCGTCCAAAAATCGAAATTGAAAATTTTTGCATTACTTTACGTTTCAAAGGTTTCTGAACATTTTGGCATGCCTGTGTGTGCTTTGTGTGTCCGCAGTTTTTCATCCACGTTTCCGCGCGCACGGATCAACCGATTTGAATGGTTCAAGAAGCATTCGATTGCTATTGATAGGAAGATATGCTAATTAGTTTTTGCCAAGGCAAGGTCAATCCAGCCGGTTAAGGAGATACGGAGCAAAGAGTGCAGAAAATACAAATCGAGTTTTGAGGAGAACGAGGAGTATCGGATTTGAGACTTTGAATGAAATGACCTTAAAATCATTCCATTGTAATGATGGGAGGAAGAGATGATTAGTTTTTGGCAAAGGCAGGTCAAGCCGTACGGAGATACAGAGCTAAATGTGCAAAAAATTGCAGTTTTTGAGTGAACCAAGCGTCCGATTTGAATGGTTCAAAAAACTTTCTGCTTGTTTTAACAAAATAATCGCTTTTGAAAAAAAATATTTCTAAAAAATTCGAATGTTCAAAAAAAATTTTTTTGTATATATAAGTGAATAATTTTAACTTTGTAATTCAGTTTATACTAAGTAAATCGCAATTAAATCCTAACCAAACCGTAATTAAATTTAGACTAAATCTGAAAAAATTCTAATCAAATACAAAATTAATCCGAATAATTCAATTGACATTTTTATTAAATCCAAACTAAATTACCAAATATAAATCATATTAAACCCTAACCAAAGTGTAATTAAATCCGAACTAAATATTAATAAAATCCTAATTAAATTTTTATCAAATCATAACTAATTCTAAATAAAAATGTCATCAAATTCGAATTAAGTTACTGATCAAATCCTAACCAAAATCTTGATGAAATACTAATTTAATCCTAACTAGTTGCAAACTAAATCCAAATTAAATCTTAATATTTAAAATTTTCATTCACAAACGATATTGGAAGTGAAAATCTTTATTGAAAGTGAAAATTTACAATGAAAGTGGTAAGATACAATGAAATTATTATCTAATATCTTTTAACCAATTTTATTTTTCTGTTTCTCAGAAGAATAAATAATAACATCAAAAACAAAATTCATCCTAGCAATCATCTTGTTGGACATAGTCATATTGGAAATAATTTTCCAAGTGCCTTCTGGCAAAAAAAACGCAGGCAAAAAATCATCATCATGATGGTACTTTAGATGGTAATTATCCTGAAATGGAGAAATAAAAAAATCGGACATCCTTTAAGGATATTTATTACATTTATCACCAACCGGTCGTATAGGACATCGTTCAGGAAACTTTGGCCCTTGGCCCGAAATTTGGGCAACCAGTGGCGTCATAAATTTGGCAGCAACTTTGGCAACAAATGGGGAAACTGTGGGTGATTTTTAAAGATCCAAGGGAGTGCACACAAATCCAATTTTACAACAGGAAAATATTCTTTGTAACGATTGCTTGCTAGTTTGTATAACTGCCCTTGGCCCTAATAAAAAAAAACTTTACCAATAATTATGAAATTTTATTTTATATGAAATTACCATTAGGTTGTTCATAGGTTTTAAAATCGTTCCATTCAGCAAAAGTACTGTATAAGTCCTGTTTAATTTTTTAACTTCAAACTGATGTGGTAAAATATATTCCTTGTGATAATAATCCAAGTTTGTACTACGGAAAATAATTCCATAGTTGTTCTAAAAAATTTTTCAAAAAAATCCTTTAGTACACACTAAATACCAAATAACACTTTCAAAGTCTTACCCAACATTTAGTATTAATAATTATTGCAAAAATAATGAAAAAGGTGAAAAAAGTTCTCGGAAACATTTTCGTATAAATTGTGACTTTCGATTGATTGTGCGTATGTTTTTTTATATAGTAAAAAAATGTAATTAAAATTACTGGAGATTTCAATTATAGATTAAAATTAAAATTATTCCGGATATTTATACAAAGTAACGCACATGTGTCTATAATAATATATAGATACGTCAGTTTACTAAATTGCAGCTGTCCATTAAATGTCCA